GTTTATAATTGTTTGTACACGTAAAAACGAAGTTATTTTACGGTAGTTACCATCACCAATTCGGTACTTTACTTGGATTGTTTATAAACAGGAAGAGAATCTGAGAATGTCTAAGATCTATTCACAATTATTTGTAACTATTACGAGTATGTCCAGTCTAATAATAAAATTATGTTAAAGTTTAATAGGTTATGATAATAACGGTGCAATAAAATAAATAAATCATTGCCTAATAAATAAAAGATGCATATTTAGTACATACTTTAGATTATAAATTTTATTCTGCTTAGATGGTGTGACTGAATTATAAAGTGTAATTTAAAATTAATCTATACAGTTTATACACGAGATAAGGTATCGTGTATGTGTCGAATTGCCCAAATAAAAAGATTTAATAGGTTCAAGTTGCGTATAAGGTTGTGTTCAAATCAAGGCACGTTTTTAAATTCAAAGTATTTAGCGCGGCAAAGTGTCGCGTGTGGAAGCGTTTGCGCATACCGATAGTGTGGCCGCACCTTTCACTCGCCGCTAGTGCAAGCTAAGATACGACACTGATTACAATTATCCAGTCCTGTAGAACCATGTCTTTCATTTTATTCAACTTTGTTAATTCAGTGGACTACCTACACCGGTATAAGTGGCAGTGGCAAAGTTAGCAGGATTTATGATACGTGTCAAAAATAAAGTTCATTACTATAAACTATTTTACTAATGTTCATAATGAAATCGCATACTATGTAGGTAATTTAGTGGCAAGAAATGGTCTTATACAATTAGATCTACTTACTCCGTGCATCAATATAATCCCAAAAGATAGAGTTCTAACCAAGATTGACTAACGAGTTATTACAGTCTGCACAATGGGGTGACAAAAGACCGACCGAAAAAAGTTAATTTTATAGTAATTTTTCTTACTTTAAAGCGAAAAAAAGGTATCGAAGCTAAAGTAAATTGGCTTTAATGTTGGAAACATCTAACATAATTGATTCTCTTGCAGGTAATAGCGGGCTACCTAACCGGTCTTGTAATGTGGAAAGCCGGCGCAGACTGCCTGGCTGCTAGCTGACCACACGTACTAGCCTAACCACTACATATTAACAACATCACTCGCGGTAATGTGTTAAGACATGATTTAAACAACACAAGCCTCAGGTCAGATTTAATTTGGTTAGATTAGATCCTAATGTGACCGACTTTGCATAGTGTCCTTTTAACTTTTAAAATTGTTTGTAACCGGTACCGCGAAATCCATAGCCAGAATAAAGCAAATGGAAATTTAACTATCCCAGTATCATTGAAATTTTACTCAGCAAATCTGAAACAGAACAAGGATAAGTTGAAGAAACAGTCTCTGGGGAAGGCCAAAAAGTAAGACCAATAGTTATAAAAATATAAAATATAAATACGTTGTTTTGTTCCATACAGTTTATCTTCTTCCTCAAGGAAAAGCCACAGTAAACAAAATTGTGAGAGCCACAAGAAAAAACGAGATAAAGTTTTTATACTGCAACATTGTCTTGAGTACCTACTGATTAAATCTAAAAATACAGAACACCAACACATGGTCATATGTTCAAAAGTCTTGCACTTTGGTTTTGTAATTCTTACCTTATTCACCTTTTGGTTGTGTCAATAAAATAAAGATTTATGAAAATACTACAGTTAATTACCCAGTAATTAAAAAGACATTAATAAAAATTGCCGCTCATCTCGATATCATTTGTGGTGAGACGCAAATGTTTCATTTTGGCAAATAAACCGCAAGAATTCGAATGAAATTAGAATTCCGTCCGGTTACATACATATTGCAAAGCGGATAAAGCAGTATCCGAATTGAATTTACAATCAGAATCTCTTAATGAACTCTTTGTTATTGGATTCGTTTAGTGAATAACTAATTGATTTTTGATAGACCTTCATTGAAAATTAAATAAAGGATTGAGGAAATGTACAATGATCATAAAACAGGGATATCCGATGGTATCCTTATACACGACATACATAATGTTAAAGACGATTATGATTCATATACTTGAAGATTTACTGTTAATTTTGAATGAGCAAAATTAAATAAAAGCTCGTATGAACCAATACAAATAATTTTAAGGTAGTCATGGACGGACGGATTTTTGCAGTAGAGCCGGAATATAACGCTTTTAACTAAAATTGCTAAGCTTTACAAGGCCGCGGATAGAGCTTAGAAGCATTGTTGAATTTGTACTGTGACAATCTAAGTTCTAAAATTAAACATATCGTGTTGTTAAAATATTAAGTGAATGTCGCTAAGCATGTTGTAAATGGAACCACAAAAGCACGTGATATTAGAGGGTTCTAGTTATTAAAAGCTCAATTAATAACTTTACAACCTTTGTAGAATGGCGGCAGTGATTGGCAAGTGCAATACAAAAACATCGCTTCCTCATTCTAAATTTAAATCGAGATCATCGTCCCTCGCCACGGTGAAGTGGAGAACAAATTCAACTTTTTTTATAATTGAATCTGTGGCCAATGTAATAGAAACTTTTTTTTTATCTTATTCCTATTATACGCGATTTTTTAATATAGTTAATAAAATTTAAAAATAACAAACGTTCAAATATCAAACCCAAAATATGAGATCAGGTGTTGATAAATGTCAAGAAAATGCAATGGATATGTATATACATGTACATAATTTGGACGACTCATTAAAGTACAACTTTTTTCAAATATCTTGGCGTTCGAAGGTGGATATACTACGCAGTGCGCCTTGTACGATTTTCCGAGCCGCTAAGATATCTTAAAACAACTGTACTCAATTTATAGAAAGTTACTCATATAAACAAAACATCTGCAATTTTCAAGTCCAGATTTACATATTTTTATGAGTTAGTAATTGCATTGTAACTTAGTGCTTATTATTGTCGTTACTTTATTAAAAAAAAAGAAATATCGCATTGCGTTCTGGCAATTAACATTTTTATGAGTTTTAAGAAGAAACGAAAAAATATTACATTTTGTTTTATTCAACAGTTGTAGAAAATTTAAAATGTATTTAATACCGCGAGTACTACTTTATCTGTGTTTATGTATGGTTATTAGTAAATATTTACATCAAACCTATTCCCACGTAGATAAGTATGTAGACCATTAGTAATTAAATATTACTAACAAGAAACTCACTAATTATTTAATACGGCTCCGTTTATTTCACTGGAATTCTTTTTTCCGAAGTTTACCTGGGGTGCTACAGTATGCTACGCTACTACGCAACTGTGTGGACCAGTAATACGCAAACATCATTTATTTCCATACCATTCCTTGGAATAGTCACACTAAAACTAATATTAACTTCTACACGGTACTCAGTAGTGGGTATTGGTAGTAGTTGAGTAATGATATTCGGTAAGGATTGTCTAATAAAATTTGCCTTAGCGAATAGAAGATAATATGGAGGTCGCAACCGTTAAACTATTTTATCTACCGACCTATGTGCATAAGCAGTTAAACACAAAAATTATTATTATTGCTTGCTTATTGTTATTGCATTAAGAAATCGTCGATTTCATTTTTCAGATTGTTTTTAATTTACACACAATTTATCTCTTTTAAACATATCTCTTGTATGAATCATGTTATGTACTTGAACTTACTTAACCTTACTACAATTGTATCATAGATAAAAATATGTTACTACTCACCTCTTTGACATAATGGCTTCTTATTTGAAGGTAGTAACGGCGAATGTTCACAGGAGTCGACACTATTGCTTTCAGGTTTACTAACAGATTGAATAGATAAAAGAAAATGTTCCAAAAATTTCATTATAAACCGTAACTTTTCAAAAAAGTTTTTGTCTGTTTTTTCAGTAATTTATTATGTTATCAATAACTTGCACTCTCAACCACGAACATAAAACAACTGTGACATGATATTCTTGCCCTGTGTTGCATTAATTTAACTTTGTGTACATTGATAAAATTTAAAGGGCACAATCAGTACATACAGTGCAGTTAGCAACATTATAACTTATACTAACTATGGAAAATTACTTATCCGATGCTAGAAATAGTAAACAAAAAGTAATTAAACACAACGATAATGTCTACGCTTCTTAAAGTCACTAATTACAAGTAACTATCTATATTGTTTACTTTGGATCCAAAAAACTCGTTTAATTCATAATGTCTTTGTGACGTTGTAGGTTAGGTAAATATTGTCAGAGTCTAATGAACCATGATATATTTAATTCTGTCGATGTATATGATATCATACGTACACATTGAGATATGAACTATATCCATACCTATAACTATATACTATATTTTACATACTAGTTACATATTTTTGTTATTCATAATAGGAAAAATACCGTAAGAATAAGTAAACCAAAGACTATAGAAATGTAGAGCAAATTATCAAATTGTTGAGAAAGGTAGTTACTTAAAATGTCTATGTAGATAATAAAAATACGAGTATAAGGCAAAAGCTTCCCTCTGTACAATACATAGTTTTAAATCTTTTCCGAATGTCGTGCAATTTTGATATGCATTATTCATAAAGACTACTTGAATCCACATTTGACTGGAAATTTATCTACAATTTGCTTGCGAACAAACATAGTTTTATGCTTTTCGATTGGGCTTCAATACAATTTATTGAATAAACATATTTTTATGCCATTTCTTAAGAAACCAAACTACTTTACGTCATTTAATCTTCGATCACCATGAAGGCAGTTCTAGTACTCATAGGCTCGTTTTTACTAAAAGCCTATGCCCTCAAATCTGCAGATATTATTGGCGATCTAATTCAATCTATAGATGGTCCCAAATCAATTATAGCTGTACTATGTACTTCATCTTGTGAGTAATTATGAATAAATTACTTATGTTGTTTTTCTTCTGTGGAAACTGTCTAGATAAAGCTGGTTATTATCAACTGTTCCATTGCAGATAAGAAAACAAAATTGTTTAAATACCTTAAACAATATGATCAACAAATATCTATGACGTTTTCAGACGATTTCGAATCTATACCTTCAAACCATTTAATGGACATACACACACTATTTATTGCGGATATGGGATGTAAAAATGTATCAACATTTTTGAATAAGGTAGATTTAAATATTTAAGTTTTTATATGTTATTTTTCATTAAGTATAGGTGCGTTTTATAACTATTTTGGCATTTAGTGTGAACAAGCAAAATATTTCCGATCGCCGTTTCGATGGATTATCTTCAACAATGAAGACAATAAACTTAATAAGCAAAGCAGCATTATACCAATAGCTATTAATCAAATTAAAATTTACCCAGATACAGAAGTGATTAACGTTAAAAAACTTCAGAACGATTGTTACGAAATATACTTAAGTAAGTCTATCCAAATAACGTTTGTACTTTGCATTACTTCTTTTCACTAAATCCACAATCAATAATAAACATAACATTTATAAAATGTTTCAGTCTACAAAGTTGATGATAATAGTGATTGGAAATCTGAACTCTACGGTGTCTGGAAATTAAAAGATAGATTACAAAAATCAGACAAAATGATTCACTCCAGATCTATTCGAAGACTAGATTTGAATACACATGAAATTAAAGTTGCATTTGTTATTACTAACAATGATAGCTTGCACCATCTCACTGATGGCATGTGAGTATTTTCTGCTTCTATAATATGTATAGCTTTAGATTAATGTGTCCAACTCCTAACGATAATAAATAATGAATTCCGTTTTAGAAATGATCACATAGATACTATAACAAAAGTGAACGTGCTCGCAACAAATTATTTGTTGGATTTCCTCAATGCTAGTAGGAAGTTTGTTTTCGTCGATACATGGGGCTATCCAGATAATAATACATGGAATGGTATGACTGGTTGTTTGGCCCGAGGTGAAGTGGAAATCGGAGGTAAAATGTGATTGAGATATAAAATATTGGAAACTGATCAAAAGCAAAATAAATGCCGGCTAATTTGTTCAAATTACAGGATCTCCGATGTTCTTCACGATGGCTCGATTGCCTATAGTACAGTTCATTTCGAGCCCTGTCCCGTCAAGATCTAAGTTCGTGTTCCGGCAGCCGAAGCTTTCTTACGAGAACAACTTATTTCTTTTACCGTTTCGTAACTCTGTATGGTGCAGTATTGGCGCAGTTCTCTTTTTTCTATTCTTGGCATTATTTGGGGTTGCATTCTGGGAATGGAAGAGAAATGATCATAACATTGATTCGGTATGTATCTTTTACATTTTATATTCAACCTTTTTTATTTGATTTATCTTTATTAAAATTGTTTTAGAGAATAAGTGATGCGGGAACCTTACGAGCAAAGACATCGGATATTGCAATATTAATTTTTGGAGCAACATGTCAACAGGGTAGTCCTGTGGAACTTAAAGGTTTTAAGTTAAATATTTTCTTTAATTTGTAGGCATCATATGACATAAAGATTTGTATACTTCTAAACAAATCAACATTTATTTTTCAATTGTCAATATTATTGATTTATTAGCCAGGTATTTCCCGCAGGTACTCTAGGTCGTGTGGTGCTGTTGGATCTCTTCTTGACGGTTTTGTTCCTACACACTTCATTCTCCGCTAACATAGTTGCTCTTTTGCAATCAAGTTCATCAAGAATTAGAACACTGGAAGATTTGCTCCAATCGCGACTGAAATTTGGCGTCCATGATAATCCTTTCAACAGACATTATTTTGCGGTTAGATATCGTTACTTCCGTTCGATACCTGCTTTTCATATAACTATCAGTGTCCGATGATAAATTTGAAAATGTGCTAGACGCAATAGGCAAGTTAGGCGACAAAACATAACTATTTAAAAATTTCACATTTCTTTTTTAAAAAGTTAGGTATCAAGTGAATAGACTCATAGTACGGCTTGTAGATGGTATTTGTGTAGTTTTCCTACTTATTCATCAATTTGTTTATTATTTTGCCAATTATAGACTATGGCCGAACCGATAAGAAAAGCTATTTACGATACAAAGATTGCGCCTCCCGGTGAGTCGCCGCGATTTTTGTCAATGGAAGATGGAATTCAGAAAATACGTCAGGTAAAAAACTGTTGCAAATAATCAAAATAATGATACGTTCTGCTACATTTTTTTTTACATTCCAGGGACTTTTCGCTTTCCACATGGAAACCGGCGTTGGTTATAAATTTGTGGAAAAATATTTCGAAGAGGGGGAGAAGTGCGGCCTCTACGAAATACAATATCTACAAGTCGCAGACCCTTGGATCGCTGTTCGTAAAAACACTCCGTATTTGGAAATGTATAAAATTGGGTAAATATTATAATATTATGAATTTATGATTTGAATCCTATCCATTGGAGACAGTCTTCAGACTGCTTTTTGCTTTAGCAAAATTATATATCTATAGTTACTCCTCAATAATGTGATAACATTTAACTAAAGTGAATATATTTTTGTAAATTTGTACAAGCTTAGAAAAATAACTTTCAGAACTAAACGAATAATAGAACATGGCCTGCAGTACAGAGAAAATCGTCGTTTGTATGAACGTCGACCTACATGTAGTGGAAGTGACGGTAACTTCGTGTCTGTGAGCATGGTTGACTGCTATCCGGCGATACTAGTGTTGTCCTATGGCGTCCTCATCGCAGTCTTTATACTCCTTTTTGAGCTTCTGTACCGCTATAAACATAATATTTTTAAGGTTATTCGAAGGAAAAAGTAGCCATTTAATGTATAATTTACTTAGAGCCTTAGAGAATTTATTGAATTTTAATAAGAACGTTTGGTTTGGTTATAGAATAAATGTAATATCTTAAAATTATGAGTGCTTATTTATAAAGGGTCGAATCATTGTCGAGTTTAATGAAAATATAAAATCGAGATTTATCGCAAACAATATCAATTGTTTAAAAATCTAACAAACTCGAGCGTCAATACATTCAAGTGTTTATATTACGTTACTGTAACAATCCTAGTAATTACTTATTCGTGTGAGTAACATCTTTAACATTAACATGCAATTATTTCGAAAGCATGTCCGATATTGCAAGCTATTGTTTCCGTAGTCACGTGCGACGTTAATTAACGAGAGGATAATGGGAACAATTATGTCGGAACAGAAACGCCCAGGCGTTTATCGATAGAATAGGAAATGCAATTGATTGTAAGACGAAACCAGCAATTACTTTTAAATGTATTTTCCATTACCACTGTTTGAAATACAATGACACGTTCAGTGGATTTAATTCAGCAATCATAGAAGTACATTAACTATTTGTTAACAATGGATTTGCTAATGAAAATTATTATCATTATCCTGCTTATAAAAGTTAAAAATATTTCAACTACATTTGAAAATGATACGAAAATGATTGTAGATGTTATTGATTCTTTTGAAAAACCAACTGATATTGTCGCTAAAATCTGCTGGAATAAGTGTAAGGATTTTAAGTTATATTAAATCTTTAGTAATATCCTATTCTGTTTCTTAGTTTATATAATATTTACTAATGTATAAGTGTTGTTTAGCTCAAAAATTAAAACTAATACACAAGTTGGTTGTATTACAATCAGCAAGAAGAATAAGTTTTATGCCAGGTAATGAAATATGTAATGATGGAACTACGAACGAAAAATTACTTATCATAGCCGATGCAAGTTGTCCTGATTTCCATAATATGTTATTGAGTGTAAGTATAGTTAATATTTCAAAGCTACCGACAACATAGTTAGTATTTAGTAAAGTGTACTGGCTTTACATATTTAAATATTATCTTATTTGCAGGCGAATTCATGTAAATTGTTTAGAAGCCCAAATCGTTGGTTTATCTTTGGAATTTCCTCAGAAATGAATAAAACATTAAAAGAACAATTTGATCAACTCGACGTAAAGATTGATGCTGATGTTTTATTTTCAATCAAAGATCAAAACGTTTTTGATTTATATATGCGTAAGTAAATGGGTTTTTGTTATATCATCACAAAAATAATAGTGTCACCAATATCTTTATTGCATTACGAGTACATGTTACCTATATACGTAACTATAACAGCACTAAATGTTTGCTTTGGGTAAGTACTTATAACTAAATGTTAACGCTCTTTACTTAAGGTTCTTCCCTTACTATTTTATCATAAAGTATATTATCTTACTTGTTAATATCCGTACGATTTATGTTCTAATATTTTTTACTGAATGCTTAAATTACATAGATAGTTAAGGCAATATTAAAAATAACTACACTTTTTTCATAAAATATGTTAAAACGTAAAATAAAATCTTTTCTGTCTGTTTTTAGCATATAAAATTGGACCGATTAACAAAGGATTGAAAATAGAATACTTTGGAAGTTGGAATCAAAGACGTGGTCTTGTTAAATCAAAGAATATGCAAATATCTACGGCGATCAGGCGAAAAGACTTGCTCGGCGAACCTATAACGATTTCCACGATAATAACTGACAACAGAACCAAATCAGAGCTGTATAATATGAGGCAAGTTGCTTAAATTTAACCATAAAACACACATAATGATATTTTTAGTCCACATTTTGTCAAAAATCAAAAGAATTTAGAGATAACCAATACTTGCCAATGTTTAACAACTTATCGTCAACAGGAATATTCACAGAGATACATTGACCAAATCGAGCTTTCGTCAGTATATGCCAATTTATGATTTCATAAATGCAACTAAAGTGATTATGTACGCGGACACATGGGGCTATTTAGTCAACGGCACTTTTAACGGTATGGTCGGACACATGGCCCGGGGCGAAGCTGAGCTGGGAGGTCTGTGGTTGTTTAATTATTATGACGTCATCTGACATAACCTAACCATCACCGTCTTATCATTTTCATACTATCTGTTGTTTATTTTAGAAGGTAAATGAGCAAGTGAAAACATTATTTCGCTTATGTAGTAAAGTACCCTGTGCCCATAAACATCTGCAACAAGTTGAAAGGGTTGCTTTCTCTTCCCATGCTTTATTAATAAAATAGTAGGAATAGGATAATAACGATATTTGATGTTACAGGCACTTTAGTGTTTATATCGCGGGAACGATTGGCGGTTTTAAACTACATGAATTACCCTGGTTCCCTGTCGGTAAAGTTCGTGTTCCGAGAGCCATCTCTCTCCTACCAGCACAATTTGTTCCTGCTGCCATTTAAACCGATTGTCTGGTGCTGCATCTTAGCGCTTGTATTTATATTAATATTTATTTTATTCCTCAATGCAAGATGGGAGAGTATCAAATCACAAAACGAAGACATGGTAATTTAATTATCACAATGAAATGAATATTTTTTTGAGTCACAAAATATACTCAGACACCAGAGAAATTAAAAAACAACTTAATATTATAGAAATAGTATATTCAAAAGTATAAGAATCCTAGTCTTGTATGGACAAAACCCACACTAACATTTTTTTAATTAAGTATAAAAATTCCTTTTGCAGTTAGACAATACATTATTAAAGCCGAACATAAGCGACATAGCAATACTGGTGATGAGCGCAATATCGCAGCAAGGAAGTTCAACGGAACTGAAAGGTCAGTCATTGAAATGCACGATGCGTAGGTCATTTACTGCCTATGTCTGGTACAGACGTTTTAGGCCATGACGTGTACGTTGTTATTTGATTTGTGTTTACATTTGTCATGTACATTTTCCGTGTACTATTCTAATTCCACAATTCATCTCTCATACAATGGTTAACGGTATGTTCGTTCATTCTTCGGTCTTTCGCTACGCTTCTATCCGTCCACATTATTAGTCACCACAATACTCCCTTCATATCCTAATGCAGATAATACACTAACCTCTTGTTGCTTTATGTGTCTGGAGACTTTTAACATTTGCCGTGTATATTTATGCAGGCGCTTTGGGCCGTGGTGTTATGTTCATTCTATTCCTGGCGTTCGTATTCCTGTATACATCATACTCGGCGAGCATCGTCGCGCTGCTGCAGTCCAGCTCGAGCGCCATCCGCACTCTGTCGGATCTCCTCGACTCCAGATTGGAACTGGGTGCCGAAGACACACCGTATAATAGACATTACTTCCCGGTACATTTGAAAGTTTAGTACAATCTTTTAGGTATTAGGAATAACACAAGAAGTGTAATAGGGTTTATCGTATTTAATTTGCAAAATTGTTTCAAATGGTATGTAATTAAAGAGACAACGAAGTAACCTGGCAAGGCAAGGCCTTTGATTCAAGTAAAGTAATCATAATTAGTAATAATGATTGCGCTTAACAGATGAAATAATAATTAGTTATATTTCAAAACATCCCGATTTCAGACAGCCACGGAGCCAATTAAAAAAGCAATTTATCAAAACAAGATAGCTCCTCGTGGATCAAAACCTAACTTCATGAAGTTGGAAGACGGTGTTCGAAAACTTCGAAAGGTTGATTGATTTTTTTATTTGAAAATGTTGTTGTTTATACTCTGTAAACTTTTGAAAGTGAAGTCTAGAACATCCTTATCGTTAAAGTCTAATAAATCTATAATATCTTTGGCTTTGTTTTAAGGTCGCAGAAATATTGAATAAATTACCCCAATGCTATTATTTGTTTTAGGAGCCTTTTGCTTTTAATATGAACACTGGTAGAGGTTATAGGTTGGTGGAGCAATATTTTTATGAGCATGAGAAATGTGGTCTTCAAGAAATATCTTATTTCCCTAATACTAAACCTTGGCAAACAAGTCGCAAAGATTCTTCTTATAAGGAAATTCTTAAAATTGGGTAAGAGTAAATTAAAAAAAAATATTATCACTTCAATATTAATGTGCTTAAAAATTATTCTGTTTTAAATAAAGTAACAACCTCTTAATTTCCTAAACGTCCTTGCTTTTTTCAGATCGTTCAGGAGTCAGGAGCACGGACTCAACATGCGTGTTAATAAACAAGTGTTCTCTTCGAAGCCCGCGTGTATTGTTAAGGGCGGGAACTTTGGCTCCGTCAACATGGTCGATTTCTACCCGGCCGTGCTTACACTCATCTACGGAATGTTATTAGCCATAATTATTTTGATTTTCGAAATATTGGTACATCTAAAACGAAATAAGGGTATTAACCCGTAAATAAACCGAAAGTAAAATACATAGAAGTATAGCAACTTTTCACTTTATTCAGAGTTTTCGCTTTATTTTATTTCGGTTTGCGTCGAGCATTATTAGTTTGAGCACTGATTTGTGAATGTAAAATTGATCTTGAATATCTAGTTGCATAGCAATAAGGCTGCTCTTGCGCAAATCTAGCAGTTACTTAGTTTTAGTTTCCTATTGTATTATTTGTGCAAAAGAATTAAAAAAAAATAAGATCTTTTGGTTTTGCTAAAACTCTGTTGACTGAAAAGAAAAGTGCTTTAGGTGTGTTTCTATTCAAGAGCAATAGCGGGAAGGATATGACATCCTGCTCGAGTGCAAGGCTACAAGGGTTATTACATTGTTACAACCATATTGTGATAGGGAAATGTTTGGTTATGTTACCTATCCTCTTACGAAAATTAAGACTTGAAAATCTCAAACGGGAAGTCCCTTTAAATCATTTGAAATATATAACCACCATGACCACGAGGCTTGCATATCGGGCGGACATCAATGAATTTATATCTCTAATGATAACAAATATAACAAGTGAAGGAACGCTGATAAGATATAAATGTAATGAGTAATTTAATAATTGATTGGTCAGATTTCTTGTTAGCAAAAATACTTTTGTGTCTTAACAATAAACAATGTAAAGAAAATGATTTACAAAATAAGTTTGCTTGTTTTATTTGGTGTATTTGGTACAACGACTGGTAAGTTAATGATTTAAATTGACTTTTACATAGTTTGTAATAGTAAATGATTCCATTAGCTTCTTATTCTTATCAAAAGTATTTTAAACTAGTTATTACAAAATTAACCTTATTTTTTTGATTGATTATTCTTCTGAAATTACGTTTTTATATATATATATTTACAATTTAATATGTTTTACTGCTTTAATGTTTTATTTTGCAGCTCAATTAAGATGCTATGCATGCAGTTTCTCCTCGGTAGACTCGGATCAGTCCTGTCTGACTATAACAAACTCTACGCCCTCTGTTGATTGTCGCTTCACGTATTGCACAATTATGCGTCAGGAATTCATTGTTAGTATATAAAGAAATCCCTCCTAAATTTAACCAGATGTTTGACAAATGTTGTAATATCCAAACATTTAAAAAAATAAGTTCTCTGCAACTCGCATGATATTACGATACTTATATTTATGCAGGCGCTTATAAGAATAGATATTTCCGTATAAATTAGTAACGTGATAAAAAAGTACTTTTGCAGGATCCGATAGGAGTAGTTGCAAGTTTCACACGAGGCTGCGAAGAGTCACCGGATTTTCTAAATCATGAAGTAGTTGATCCAACATTTAAAACGTACTATCGCGCCTGCACTAATGATCTTTGTAATATTGGTAAGCGATTGTATTGTTTGGATCCATTCATACCTTAATATCGCAATATATGCTAGTTGACTTTACACTTAACTAGCTTTCGCCAGCGACTGCTTCCGCTGGGATTCAAAAATATTTAAGTGCTAATCAAGACAGTCATAATATATTTCTGTGCCAAACTTTATCCATATCCATTTAACCTCTTTGAAATTACCTGCTAACAATTAGTAAGATGTTTCATCTGTGTACTTATGTTACCATTTCTTTGTAATATTCTAGGCAACGGAATCCAGTCAGTCGTCGGTGGAAGTCTTTCTCCAAGCCCAGAATATAATGGTGTAAATCTACTCGTACCAGGTACAGGCAAAGGAATGAATATACAAAATAATATATTCTTACTGATAATAACATTGTCTTTGTACCTACTAAATGCTTAAAATGAATAAAATATTATTAAAGCTGATTTTTTTATTATCGTTCTTAAATTAAAAATAAATAGATCATTATAGCTTAAAAGCGCCTAAAATCAAGTCAATTTGCAGTAAGGGGTAGTATGTAATATCGTATAATTCTTTCCTTTTGCTAAATGGTATAAAGTCAATTTTAACTTAAATTCTGAACCTAAATTAAATGTACATGTCCGTTATCCAGTATCTTGTGTGGTGTCCTAGTGTTGTCATGGTAACAGCATTGGTGCATGACAAAATATTATTTGTAGTCAATTTAATTTCTATAGAGCTTCATTTACTTTAGATTATTGGTTTAATTACTTTAAAAATGTTACTGAAAGTTTCACCTAAAAACATTGTGAACGTATCCCTAAAAAGACTTTGACACATTCTTATTCGTAAAATGTCATATTGAGAAGTCATTATAGTTATAGGTTAAGTTATCTATTATTAGTAATAAAATGTAATTGTAACTTAAATTACCAGTGTTATTGGTTTCAAACCAAACATGACAACTTCTCCTACCAGGACCAAACAAAAATTATCTTTGCGTAAACGCTTATTTGTTAAGAAATCACCAAGGGTTGGCTGCTATGTTGATACTGATTCCAATGACGAATTTAGTCAGTCTACGTCTCGTCCAATGTCCCCCGCAGATCCTTTCCTAGCACAGAGTGCACAGTCTAATGACCTGAACACAGAAAAAACAAACCGGACAAATCTGGGCGTAGAACTAAACACAAGCAGTATTAACCAATGTAGTGATAACTGTAGCATCGATGATGAAAATAATCCTAAATGTTGCAAAACATTCTTCAGAAAATCACGGCCCAGGAGCTTGGCAGATGGGCCTAATTCTAAGAATGGGTCAAATTCTAAACCACCTAGTCCATTGAATACTTCTAGCAACAGTTATAGTGATCAAACAATATCTGGCACTCAATCGAAATCCGATGAAATTCCGAAAGCTACAGTCATTTTTCCTAATAGTAATGGTGATGATAAAAGTTTTGATCATACCAGTTCATTAGAAGGCATCAAACCGAAAAGCAAATTATTTGTGAAGCGTTTGTCGGCTGATCATTTGATATCCAGTGACACTAAGCCTTTATACCGTTCCTCATCTCCAGAGAGTGATAGAAGTAGTTCGTTGGATCGTAAAAGAAGGTAAGTTGCATTTCCAGTTAGTACTGAAACAACTATGTTTTGTGATTTTTATGTTGTACATGTTGCATTTAGGACTAAGTCTACCATCACTCGGTCTGCTTCTCGTGCTGGCAGCACTGACAGCTTGGCTCGCAACTCACTTCTTGCTGCACAAGTGCTGCGGCTAATTCCTACGCAGGAGGCTAGGGAAAGGTTACTAAATTATATTTTTTTAAGTTATTGCTACCTGGGCCCTTACTTTAAGTTTCAAAATTATTTTTATAAAAATATTCTTATACATATTGGTGTTTATTAATACCTGTAATATAGTATTTCCATAGATCATATTGCCTTATATTATGCAAATAAGCTATTTATTGCTGAATTAATATGCTGCTTATCCCATCTACTAATTGTACAAAACATGCATGATTGTCAAATGTTATAGAAACTATTTGTATGGGAGGCTGGCCTCACATTCCCTGCTGGGGGCTGCAGAGTTAGAACATGTCTTTCCTGATAGAGAGGTTAAAATATTTGTTGGAACATGGAACATGAATGGACAGGCACCACCAAGGTACATATTTTAACAATAACAGAGTACTTAATAATTTTAATGGAATTCTTTTTGTTAAGGTTTAATATGTTAAACTTTAAGTATGCTAACAAAAATACAAACAAAGGCTAATGAATTTCAGGGAGTTGGCAGATTTTATATTTCCCAGTCAAGTGAAACATGTTCCAGACATCTTTGCTATTGGTACACAGGAATCTTATTCAGAACGAACTGAGTGGGAAATAACTATACAAGAAGTGTTGGGGCCATCACATCTATTACTGCATTCATATTATTTGGGTAAGAAGCTTACATGAATTATTAACTTTAAAAATGTTTTAAATAAAGTACAAATTTTAAAGTATACAATTAATATTAAAACCAGAAGTGGATAATCATTTAACCTCAGTTAGTTGAGTCACATTTCATATTTCAACAAAATATATTAATCATAAAACATTTTTTTTTCAGGAACATTACTCCTAACAATATTTATAAGAAGAGATCTGATATGGTTTTGTTCTCTTCCGGAAGACGCAAGTCTGTCAGTGCGGCCGGGCACCGCGTTCCGTACAAAAGGCGCTGTGGCGATATCCTTCGCGTTGTTTGGCTCCACATTCTTATTTGTAACTGCACATCTCACCGCACACCAGGAGAAAGTCAAAGAAAGAGTTTCCGATATTAAAAGAATCATCAGATCTATAGATTTACCTAAAAACTTACCTTGCAAGCATAGAAGTAAAGGTTAGTGTGTTTTCTTGTAATTATTTAGATCTGTTTTTGAGGTTCATTAGTTTAGTTCTAGTCAAGGCAAGTTATGTTTGTACTGATTGATTAGATAAAAATCTTCATTAAATATGCCTATTGTGATTTGTAACATAGAGGCATTAAGATAGTAAAAAGGTTTCTTATTATTACTACAATACATTTTAAATGAATTAATGACTATTTCAGATGTAACAAATAATTTCGACTATGTATTTTGGTGCGGTGACCTTAATTTCCGACTAGGAGAGCCCCGAGCCGCTGTACTGCGCTGGATTGAACAAACCGAGGTGATTATCTATACTAATAAATTGTGGAAAGATTTGTATTTTTGTATGTAATTGATATAATTAAAAAACTACTGGGCTGATTTGAAAAATTCATCGTTAGAAAGTTACAATCATTGAGTGATTACTACTCTTATTACTAGATTTTTTTATTTTCACGGACTGTCGCGGGGAAAACCTATCTGAAATAATTTACTAATCTTTCATCTCTATTTCAAATTAATTTATAGGAAGTGGTAGGGTATGGTTTAAAACAATTTAAATTGTTATTGCAGTTCCCGCTGCCGGCGTACTTGCCGCACGGGCTGCTGCACGCCGACCAGCTGACCGCGGTGCTGGAGGACGGCGCCGCCTTCCGTGACTTTAGGGAGGCACCTATCACCTTCCCACCAACTTATAAAGTACGTAGAAATTGTTTTTTTTTTAAATTAACTTAAATCTATACTTTATTACTTTCTCGATGCTTTAAACAAAATATTTTATTTTGTAGAAACTATCCTAATTACTTAGTTGTTACTGAGTACCTGTAAGAGATTGCCGAAAGCAATGAGGCCGCCCTAGCTTAATCTTGCAGTACCTTAGTTTTAGTACACTTATTGTAATATTTGTGCAAAAAGTATTAAATAGATAAATAACAATACTTCTTACTAATATTATAAATGAGAAAATTTAGATGGATGGATGTTTGTTACAACATATCTTCAAAACAGCTCAATAGATCTTGCTAAAAATTGACATAGTATGGAAGAACACATAAGCTACTATTTTTTTTAATGCCGCGCGAATCGACAAGTCGGCGACAGCTAATATGTCACATTTTTTATATTGCGCTTGTTTTAAAACTGTGTGCAAATGTTATAAGGTGTAAAAGTTATATGTTCACATTTGTCAGTACGACCCGGGCAGCCAGCAGTTCGACACGTCCAGCAAGCAGCGCGCGCCCGCGTACACCGACCGCATTCTGTACAAGGCGCGCTCCCACACCGCGCACAGCTCCAACACCTCCTCCGCATTCTCAGGTAACTAAATACTTATGGATATTGTCACTTAAATTTAAATGTTTTTACCAAAAATTAACTATACATAATATATCAGATGTCAAGTAAATATTTAAAAATGCCTTACAATTTTTAATAGCAACTATTAAACGAACGTCCGATGGATAATTTTTTTTTATTGTGCGGGTTTTATTTTAAGAGATCAATCGGAATAAAAAGTTGAAATTCTCCTTTCACACGACACCGCTTTAATTCAATTAAAAAATAATTGTCACACATAACGCCTTTATAACAAAAGTTATAAGGTCGCTTTTCGTCTATATAGCAGGTCTGCGTCGCATAAGCACTGCGGCGACTGGCGGTGGCGGTGGCGGGGGCGGCGCGGGCGCGGGCGCGGGGGCGGGGCTGCGCTGCGTGGCGTACAACTCCGCGCAATCAGTGTGCACCAGCGACCATAAGCCTGTGTGGGCGCTCTTCTCCGCCCCGCTGCGACCCGGCACTGACGTGTTAGTTTCCTGTTTCCACTAGCTACGACCATACGATTCTAGCTGCGACTAGTCGCATTTAAAAAAAGAGATCTCACGCTAAATCAGGAGCGAACCACTGTATTATGGGCACGTCGATAATCATAAAAACACTTTGAAAATATTATGTAGTAGGTGCACCTTGGAATTGACATTACAATCGCAGTCAAAATTATTCGATGGCACGTCTAAGACCGCATTAAACATTTCTTTAAAAAATGGAACTTTATATAAATATTTTCCAAAGAACTAAGGAAATCTAATAATCGAACCGGATTTGTGTAAATTTTAATGTTTATAGATCATGGGAGTTGCCTGGTGGTGGGTAGTAGCGACGTCCATACTTTAAACGCAGTCAGATGACTTATCAAGTCCTATTTCACTTATATCTATAACTGAAGACTTCGTATAACTTTTATATCAATTGTATGTATATTTGCAGAGTGCCGCTGGCGGCGGGTCTGTTCAACAGGGAGGTGTACCTGGAGGGCATCAAGCGGCGCCGCGCGCTGCTCGAGCACGCGCCCGGCACCTCCGCGGTATGTGCCATACAATAGTCGTGTTCACTTTTATGTTCTCATTAAACTAGTCGACCAAATACCAACATAATAGTGGTTAAATACCCGTATTGTATTATAAAAATTACTTGATCAGTATTAATTTGAAAATATGGAACTCATATATTTGTAACGTTTAGTCATTTTACCCCACGAAGGAAGCCATACTTGTGTTTGTGTGCACACATTACAAGTGCATATGTGTGCGTTACTGCAGCCAATGAGAGCGCTCGGATCACTGTGTGCGTAACGCACATTTCTGTTTCTCGTGTGCATTGTGACCAGGGGTGGCAAACCTTTCGAATTATCCAATTGATATCTGATTTGTATTGAATATTATTTTTGTTATTGTTATATTTTTATAGCATAAGAGTGGCTCATTTTTATTTTTGTTAAAAATTATTGTGATGTTCAGAAAACAAAATCTTTTTAATTTTTTATGTTAAGTATTGAATACTTTTATTATTTATTATTTTTACATAAAAACAGTTACATCTTTTATTATTCCGTTTAGTACAACTTATTGTTTGTACTGTTACAAAAGACATCTCTAGTCAATATATTAAAAAAGTCATAGTTCATTAATTTATTTTAATAAATAAAGTAAAATTACCTTTTTTATTTTAAATAATGAAAAATCAGTCTGTAGTATTATTAGTAGTAGTGTATTTAGTTCATTTTTTAAAATAAATTGTGTGCAATAGAAAATATTTAGAAGTATAAAAGTTTACATTGTTTTAATTTAATAGCTTAAATTGCTTACTTGTAAATAAAAAATATACAGGCGACTTGAGTATCTCCTTTTGGAAAGTCGGCCAAAACATAGTATTCAACAAATAATAATTCATTTCTTTTCATAATCTTTGGTAATGTAATTGCGTTTTGTTTCTGTATTAGAGCAAAATTGAAAAAAGTACATGCAATAAGCAAATGCTTTTTTTACATATTTTGACATGAAAATGTTTAAGTAATTTTCTTGTAAATATTCTTTGTAGCAAAAAAAAATACCAAAAAAAAAGGAAAGTTTAATCTTTTGTGCTTTTATGTATTTGTAGTTATAATTATGTGTTTATATTCTTATCAAAAACAGTATTAAATCATTAGAATTGTTGAAATTATTTTAAGTAAACTTAGAGCTTCTTTTTAATTATTTCATTGAATGTTATTCAAGTACAGCAAGTTTCAAATAAGAATTTACAATCACGCACTTGAAAAATAAGTGCTTCTTAATTAATTAAAAAAAATCTTCAAGTTATAATATACATGCAAGTATTTTTATCTGTAATATTTCGACACAGATTCTTTGAAAGATTGTAATCTTAGACGCGCAAATTCTTATTTGAAATCTATAGTAGATGTTTATTTAATAAACTAGTCAAACACGTAGTGCATGAAAACAGTACTTAATATCCTGCCTTAACTTTACCGTCTTTGTGGAGTATTGTGAATGTTCCCAAATAATTTAGGTGCTGTGATTTATATTGATTCTAGTCTGATGTTCATTCCATAACATATATACTTTTATATATGTTAATATGTATACTAAAATGTGTTAGCTATTCGTCAATTTATTACCAGATCGCGGTGTTTTAAACTACAATACTTTCATTTGACAATTTCGAAATTACTGGTAAGAGGCTAGGAGGAATTGTAAATTTAATCATTCGTATTGCAAAAGATGTTTTAACTTATTGAGGTGTATTTATAGTTTTATGCGCTAGATTCTTTGTAGAAAAAAGTTTATTTAGTAATATAGTACAGCAAGTTTGGCCAACTGGGTTAGACTTAGATCTACTATTCACTTGACGCTGTGCGATTTACGTATTACATATTTTTTTAATTTAATATTAGCATTTAGTATATAATTACGTAGTATTTTTGTATCTGTGCTGTACTATACTCGCAATTGACCAGGCCAGCGGTTGACGACCCCTGTATTTTAGTGATGTCTGCTTCTATACTATTTTTGGTATCCTGATAGCTGTTTTAAAGATATGATATTTAACCCATGTATCACCTTCGTAAGTTAAAATATAAATACAATGTCCGTATAAAACATAATGTAAATATGTCTTGTATATCTTGTTCATCTAAATTTAACAAATATACTAGAATCAAAATGCAAATGTTTTTAATTTACGCAATTTATGATGTAGAATTGAAAATAAAAATATTATTTCCTAATTTATGTAAATTTACTTAATCTAATGTATGTGGAATCTGAAATATTGAAATTAAATTAATTATAATTATTTTCAAAGATATTATTTAGATTTATTGATATCTTAGTTTCTATTTAGAGTAAAAATTTATGAACTGTTGCTACGGCAAACAATTATTACATTAATTAGGTTATGCCTCTTTTTTTGGAATATAATTATAGTAAAATATTAATAAAAAGACCAAGTCAATATGGAAAATTTCAATTAATTAAAAGAGAGAGAAACTGTTAAATAGTTTTAAAGTTAGAATTGGCAGAGTAAACATAAATTAATACTAAATATAGATAAAAAAATACATCTCTAAACCATTGCTGCAGTGTTGCCATGATTACCTTTTATAGGAAGTGCACATAAATTCATATATAATGAAAACAGCAACTATATTAAATCTACAATCATATTTGAATATACTTGTGTCTTCCATATTATAACTGTATATAAAGCGTATATATTTGTAGAAATTATAGATTGCATATATGCGTAACAATTCTATCCGGTTATACGATTTAAGGTCATCGCTTACCAGACATCGTGGTCCACGGATCTAATGGGCATGCTCCTTAACCTGCGTGTATATTTACAAATCTGTGGTCTACTTTACTATTTCATATAAATAGTATATAAACGTTATTCGCTTGAAATATAACTATTTTTGAGATTTAACTGTACTTGTGTAATCCAGAATTGTGTATTAGATTAGTATAAATATATTGATGTAATATAAATGGCTCAGTAACATTCGCTTATACATAATGTAATAACTTAAAAAAATATCAAAAATAGTAACTATTTAAATGCAGCCAAATTCATACTGTTATGTAATAGACAAACAAACCGATGTTTTTTTAAAGCATTTTGACGCTTATTGTAGTGTATACTAAATTATTCTACGCAACCGTATTTGTATGTATTCTTCTCTATTCTATTATCAGCATTGAATAATACATGTTATGTATTTAATTTACATGTTTTAATGTAGAGATTTTATTCGCTGTGTTCTTTATTAAATTAATAAGTATTGTAGACGATTATGTAATTTATCTTAAAAAAGACAATTTTTGTAATTTTATTTTTATAGAGTAGAAAATATTAGTGTAAACTAGGTAGTGAAAACAGTAAAAAGTGCTAAATCCTACCATGAAAGTACTATGTTGTAATACTTGTATTGAAACATGTTTTCTCGAAGTGACAATGCTACATGGTTGCATATATTTCATTGTTTTCACTATTATTAACAGTATTAAAACTTGATTTTCACGCTACATAAACTAGTCCATGTTTTCTATAATTTTAGTTGATATTGTAAAATATTACAATAAATATACAAAACTTTCCTCTAACCGTTTATATTAATTATCCCTATTACTTTACTATAGCAGATATCTCGATATGACATATAAAAATAGGGTCTTTTTTCAGTAATTTATATAGAATTTAAAAAAATACTGCAGTATATCATGAACAATTGACATTTAATTTTTTCTCTTTAAGCGTTTTAATTAATTTATTTTTTACTTTTTGTGACAGTTCCGTACATTATTGTAGTGCCACTCCACGCAGGCCCAGCCTTTCACTCCGTTTACTTCGACTGAGCACCATCTCTCATAGAACTTGGCGACTCTCTCCTTACCAATGTAAAATATATCTTCATTGTTTACTTTAACTTTGACAGCATACGATTTGCAACCTGGCAAGTAACGATTAGCAATCATTAATAAAACTACAAAATTATTCACCACAGTGCACCAAAAAAAGTTGAATACTTAACATAAAAAAAACTTATCATTGTAAGTTTTCTTACCACTCTTGAAAACAAATCCGTAATCTTTGGGTAAGATTTCATTTTCCGCGTGTTGATACAAATGGAAGTCGCAGGAGTCAACTGGCAACACTGACTGATCTGCCTTCTTGCATAAATACCCAATGGTCAAACTGTTAAAGTTAAGTTAACAAGATTTAAGACTACACAATCGTAATCTAAAAACGTTGACTAAAGTCAAACTGTCGCATCCGGATTGTAGTCTTTAATGGAGTCCCTTAGTCTATAAAATTAACATTTAAAAGAACACTTGAAGACTCTGAGTGCGACATTAATCAATGTTACTTACTGAGATAAGACAGTCGGTTCGGACACGCTGCCCACAGCCATGCAGTCGCCGTTCTCAAGGAACATAAAGTGGTACACGTAGCGGTGGAAGTTACGCCATTCACGTAACGGGCCTAAAATTAACAATGAAATTATATAAACTACTACAATTCTATGAATAAACTTTAGATTTAAAATATATTTCTCTACAAACAAGAACAAAATTGTTATGATATTACCAAAACTACGGTCTCTCAAACACGGCATATCCAGAGAATGTTCTTTTCCATCGATTACTGCTATTCCTCTAATGTAACCCATTTGTTCGTAATGTGTTTGATGCAATCTGTAACAATGCATCATTTAAAAGCTATACCTCTGTACAGTAATGAAGTTATAAAAATGATTTGTGATAGCGTTTATAGGCACTGACTTTTCTAGCATTTGGAAGTAATCCCGGGACCAGGGTTCCCTCGCAAGGTCGTTTGCCATGCTGTAGGCCGACATGTGCACGTCGTAATTGAACGGCGCCCACGCAGCGCTCCATGTCAGCGATACTTCCACCTTCAAACGTTTCTCCGGATTAGACTTCGATCTGAAATTATGAAAACAGAAGAAAAAGGTAATAATGCTAGAATATTCTAAAAGGGATCTGTTAGTCGAAAATCAAATTCTTTTTATAGAGGGTTCAGGTAATATTGTAACAAAATTACTTCATATCGCCGTTATAAGCCAATTTCCAAGTACGCATTGGCATGAAGTTGGTAATCTTGATTCCTTGCACGCTGTACTCTCCTTGTTCGGGTATGGTTTGCTCTAGGTGCGTGTCCGGAAGGTTTGGAGATAGAAGTAGTTCTTCACCGTTACACTAAAAACGAGAAAAAAATTACATTAGTGCTGGAAAAAAGTAGCAACGCTCTCGACTTGTTCCTATATTTTGTCAGGTCTTAATAAACAACTGTTTCGTATCGTACTCGCCAACCAATGATTGCAATAAATTTAACATTATGGTCATGTTGCTAGAAGTAACAGTAGATACGAACCTTTAAGTATAAGAAAGCATCACAGTAGTGATTCGGTCTACGAGCAAGGCCGCATATAACCGCGCTTCCCTCCTTTGACAATCCATTGAAATAAACAGCATCTACTGCCTGAAAATATCGCTTTTCATTATTCACTAGAAGTCTAGTAGTTCTAGTCTAGAATTAAACCTTAGTATTGTTTTATTATTTAGTTTCGTAATTACTACAAAAAAATATCTTTACCTTAGGATAATCACCAAGGTTATACTTTTCTTCCAAAATCGAATCATATTTATGTATCTGTTCGGTGCCGTCTGAACTCTGGCCCAATTCAACAGCCCGTAGACGTTTACCTTCTTTAATCAGCTGCAATAGTTACACTGCTATTAAGCAATAAGATTAAGATAAGTGACCACGAAATAGTCTATTTAATATAATCGTGCAATACATAATTGTTTTTCTGAAGGTGACGAATTTTACAATCACATCCATTTAAGAAAAAGTACTGTCCATGGGATTTTATAGGATTGAGGAAACATGTCACCTTGGAGAGCTACGTCCAGTTATAGATTTCTTTGATATGTCATATTGATTCTTATATTAGTTTCCACTGTATTAACACATGTAAAAACATTACTTTCTACATTTTCAGAGAATATCTTTCGACAGTGAAATCTCACGGTCATTTAAAAAGTGTAAATATTAATACATACCCTTTTTACAATTAGTAGAATGTACATAAAAATAAATTTAAGCCAGTAACCCTTATTCCTTTGCTGGTAAATACCTAAAATAGGCGGTTTACGTGTGGCATTTAAATATTTAAACACTATAACCACAAGTGCGGAGACCGCGAACGATAATATTAATGTAAACATCACTGTAGTTGTTAAACGAATGAAAATAAATGTACAACTTGGTTACGCTTAATTGATAAAGAATATTAAAAATGTTCACACCTGGCTATCTTATCAGCTGCTTGATTGCGTTACTGTCTTAGGTTCAATTTCGAGGTAATTTGAAAAATATTGTACATAGTTAAAAGTGATTTTTTTGTTTTTGATAAATATTGTATTTATCAAATCCAACCATAATTGTATTGAAGTTTAGTGTAATTTTCAGCCAACATATATTTTACACTGATATGTTCAATGGTAAAAAAAAACATAAAAACTTTCAAAAAAACATTTTCATTAGTCTTTTAAAACCATAGATAATACAATACTATACTAGTTTAAAACAAAACTTATTCAAGGCACTAAAAATCAGGATAAGTTGTAATTAAAGAAATATTAAGTAAGGTAATTTATTAATAAATGTATTACATAATATAATATTTTAGTACATAAACGTGAATTGTTCACTCAGCAGCGGCTAACAGATGTTTGTGGACGCACTCCTCCTTGTTGATGAGATGTGTGGTCTTGTTGACGAGCTGCATCAGAGTGTTCAGGTTGTGAGACCACTCATTCAGACGGTCTGATGAATCCATGTTCAAGCTAAAACACATATTTTAAAAGGTTAACAAACGACAAGGTAAGTCATAGGTTTTCAGTATTACAGAAAAAATATTTCTATGCAACGAGACACTCCACTTCTACTTACAATTTTATTTTAATTCTTTAGTTCCAAAATATTACAATATGGTAATTAACTAACAATAAATACAATTCCAAAAAAAGGAGTACCACTGGCTGGCCTTTTTTGTCTGAACATTTATAAGTTGTGCTCTATTAGTTGATATTTTAGTAGTAGTTATTATCTCAAAGAGTGTGTAATAGTATGTTGTATTTCTATTGTACATCTGCTGCAGCCAGATTTAATGGAAAATAAGTCTTATATGTATATATCAGAGCTGTAGTTATGCTAAGGCTAGATAAATGACAAGGTATCTATTACAATGATGTTTTTTTGACATGATGTTGAAAGACTTGCAGTGAAACGTTGCTACTGTATACTAATTATACGGAATTCCGATCACGTGGTCGAGGGTTCGAATCTCACCATTCGACTATTGTAAACCATATTCTAGCGCAAGTCTATTGCTTAGGAATGGTAAAAGGAATATTAGTGAATTAACAAAAATCTACTGATATTTTAAAGAAAAATCCGTACCTGAAGTGGACGACTCCTGCGGGGCGGTCTATCTTGGCCTTGACGACGGCGCTGACGACGAGCTGGCTGAGCGCGTCCTCCGTCTCCGTGGCGCCCAGCCCCAGCAGCGCGCTCATGCGCTGCAGCGAGATGCGCGTGTAGTACATCGACATTATACGGATGTTCTGTAACAACGCAACACAACACATTACAAGTCAATCATATCAAAACAAAAATGCTTTATTCTAAAATTTATTTTTTAAACAAGCTTACACCCGCGTGGAATTAAAAAAAGTAAGGAGCCTATGTGTTCTTCCAGACTATGCTCTACATCAATACCTAATTTCATTCCATTCCAAACATTAACTTGCATAGATATTGATTTAATAAAAAAAAAATATAGGTGGTATGTAGCCAATTAAAACAATAGTGATTGTTTATGTTGCATTCCATAATAGAACGGATTTAAGATAGTGTTGTGCATGGGTATTGTCAAATGTTATCAAAGTATATACTCACATGTTCAACAACTCTATTTTTGAGGTCATTCCAGCGCTCCTGACCTTTTTCTTCAGAGGAGTTAAAGTAAGGGGTCTTTCGCAGCATCTTCTCGTAAGTAGAGCAGAGAGTGTTCCATCTTATGATCTCTGGGTTGATGAACAATCCCAACAATTGCCTAAAAATAAAAAAAAATTATTACTTGTCTGTTTAAGAACCAAAAATGCAGTATTGACATAAACTGTCTGAACAATAAGAAAATTATGAAATCAAAGTATTGTAAGGGAAACTTTTACTATAAAAGTATATTAATAATTTTTCTTTTCAATCACATACATAACAAAATCAATAAATATACTTATAGTTCATAGTAATCTTACTTGTATTCAGGTAGTTTGTCCAGGTCTTTATCTTCATTAACTCTGTGTGTGAGATCAGCCTGCTCATTGTCGTATGGAGCCAGTATCAGGAACACTACACTTCCAATCAGAGCATCAGACCCACCAGCCACACCCAGGGCACGGAAATGTCTACACACAGACAGATACTGCCCATTCTGTTGGTCCACCGCTATCATTATACGATAGAATTTCTCTTTCAACTCCTGTAATAAAACATACATTTTAAGTACTTTGTAGTTTAAAATTGCATAAAAACAAGTATTCTTAAAATAAATTTCGTATAATTCAGATTTTCTTTAATTAAAAATCTTCACCCAAAATCGAAAGAATACATTTCTTTTTGATTACCTGAGTATCATCCTCTTCAAAGAATTTAGTATTAATTTTCTTTGATATAATCTGTGTGCGAATATAGTCTTTGATTGCAAGGCAAAGTCTCATTTGTTCCAATATCAGTTCTACTTTCTCACGCTTATCCATAGATCCATATGTTTCAACTTGAAGTTCTTGTATTATCTTTGCAGCTTCTGCCACATCACCTTCTTCTTCCCTTATTTTTGCTAAAATGTTGGTAAGTCTTGCTCGTTCTACTTCAACGTAAATCTTACCCTCCGTTATTGACCTTAGGGTTTCAATTAACTTGATCTTTGTTTCTTTATCTGGGGTCTTGTTTACATAAGTGTAGCATTCTTGTACCATTTTTACCACTGCTTGCTTAAGTTGCGATCTGACAAACAAATGCACAGCATAAAACAAAAGTTTCTTATAGTATACTAGTTGTTACTGGCAACTTCCTCGACTTTTTACGATTTTATTTTTTTATTTTGTTATTTTGAGTGTTTTTTTTTACTTCATCCTAGTATTTGTTGAATATACAAAAGTACAAATCTTTCCTGTTTACAATATTAGTATAGATTGAATCATAGGCGTTAGTAGTTAACAATTTAGGATAGCTCTATCGGTGGTAGTGTAGGTTATTTGAAGTATTTATTATATCTACTTTACATTTTTGATGCTTTAGAAAAACATCTACACCCTTCACCCCTGACAAAAATGATGTATTAAACTATTTTTAAACAACTATAACTTACCTTCTCTTTGACAAAAGAACAATATGATCATTTAGTGCAGGCCAGTTCTTAGCTTCAAACCAAATTTGTACGATGGTCACTAAAATTCTTGCTGTTGAAGCCATGTCAGCTCCCTGTAAAGAAAGATGACAAGATAATCACAAAATTGTTTCGGAAATTATTTAGAGAGAAAGGTTTGGTATAACAAAAATCTGCGAAGTTACCAAAAGGTATTGCGAATATATATAACACTTACTGTTCTTGTTTGTTTTTCCAATGCCAATAGTTGATCTATTGCTTCTTGAACTCTGCCACTTGAAGCCAATGATTTCCACACTGGGATCTTTTCATTGCAGGTGTCTTCATAGTCCACCTAGAAATTAGTTGGGGTTATTGCATAAATATTTTTTAGTTTGTCACAAAACCAATATATTTTCTGAGACTGCTTGTAAACAATGTTTTCAAATTACTATACATTTCCTTAGTAAAAATAAGTGGTATTAGGTCTTGATTAAAAAAAAAAACATGTTCCTCAGTTGTGATCTTTTTTATCTTTTTAAACTTGTTTCATTATGGATAATGATACAAGGAACCAAAATTGAGTATTGCGTGATCGATGATGAACTGAAATAATGTTTAGTCTACTTTTTACTATGTTAATAATCATTGTAGGGCAGCGACGAAGCCGCATTAGTGGTTACATTGACAATTCTAATAAAGCTTTGTTATAATGCCTGAATTGCATTAGAGATCTTTAGTGAAGTCTTAGAATCTTATTGTTATGTCCTTACCTCCATTTTTATAATTTTACCCGTATTTGTAGACATTTTTATGGTTTAACTGTAACAGAAAAATATAAATCTATAACGTTTCTTTAAAACTTTATGACTTTAACATGATTTATTATTGGTAAAATACATACGCTTTTCTTCGTAAATTTAAAATAAAGGGTAAAAAACAATTTTTAGTAAGTTATTTGTTCTCAAATACAAAGTATAATGAATAGTATTGAAGACGCAAGTTGCAAGCTCATCCACTTCGTTTTGACAGTGACAGATGACGGCCATAGATATCGTTTGGATTTTTTTCATTTACTAAAGCCAAAGATCACTTTGCAAAACGATTTTAATTTTTACAATGTAAAGATTGTTATTTCTGATAATCATATTTGCTTTTTAAAATGTAAAATACACATTATATCACGAAGTAATAATAAAACACAAAGCGGAAAGGTTTTCAAACAACAAATAAATAATGTTTTAACTTTCTATTTTCCTCACGGATGCTCAGTATATCACGTACTACACTTTCATACATTATCTTTAACGATTATTTAAGTTTTGCACTCTTTACTCAAAAATTAAATGAGTAATAGAAAGTAAATTAATAAAGGCCACTTCTGGCCGCTTTATGCGCAACTTGGCGCTACTATAGAATTAATCTTTTTACTGGCAGCACTTCGGACTGCAACCATAAACGACCAAACCAATGTGTTTTTGCGACACTTGATTGAAATCTGTTGAAAGTGGAAATGGCGTAGCGAAGTGTAGATTTGTTTTTACATTTTGTATTATTAATTATTTTACATGTTAGACGCAAATCTTGTCAGATTTAAGAATTCTATGTAGTGATTTAAGCATTCATTTTAGTTTTAAGTGTTTTGCGTGTTCTCATTTAAAAATAAGCACGTAGCCTCATTTCAACTCTTGCTTTGTTCCGTATTCTACAAATTGGAATAAGATTTGTAGTCGTGGTTTATATTTTAATGATTTATAATGAGTTTGTCTACAAGTTTTGAAAGTAACGAGATGAATAGCTTTAAGGAATCGCGGAGTCGATCCGTTCAAGGACTGGCGAGTGTTGTTTCTGTTTCTAGTCCTCTTATGAAAATACCACTTCCTCCTCGATTATGGATAACAGGTAAGCATTTTTCTGTGATACTTGTTTTTCTTCAGGTAAAGCTTTAACTACAGCGGTGGGTTTTGCTTCAGTATCATTTATTCACTTATTTGTCATATTCGTTCTGAATTATATTTGGATGTTAAATTACTCTTAGACGTGGAAGATGAGTCTTCGGATGAAAACAGTACTGGTACTAGAGATGAGGGTGTTGTTTTGGCTGAGAGGACCAGGGTGAGATCGCGTTTTCGGCACAAGCATCGTAGCACTTGTAATGTGCCCATTGGGATTTTTTGGGATATTGAAAACTGTCAGGTGGGTCTTTTTTACTTCCGTCATTCATTACCTGTGTACTTTTGCGTTAAATTAAATTAAAAACTCTAAAAATACCATGTGTTACATCTCTTTCCAAATACTTAGAAGTTATTCATTACTTATTGATCTGCATATGTTACTGGTTTGATTTTCTTAATAATTGTAGATTATTTTTGTAATAGTTATTTAAACAACTTGTTATTTAGTATATCCTGTTAGATTGTCAATATTCCTTTATATAGGTTCCCCGGGGGTGCTCTGCAATAGATGTGGTAGCAGCAATCAGAGCCAAATTTCTTCCAGGGAGGAGGGAAGCTGAATTTGTTGTTGTTTGTGATGTTAGAAAAGAAGCTGCAAATAGATTACAAGAACTTAATGATTCTCAAGTAAGTAAAACATTAAAGAAACTGTAATAGGCTAACCGAAACACTAAAAGTTCTTTGTTGGTAACAACAGTTACATAGACTTCTCATACTGAATCTACAATAAGGGACTCTTTTAGTGACTACTAAGTGAGGAAGCAAATTAAGGAGCCATCATACTATTATCATATAAATTTCTAAGATATGATAAATTGTTAGTTAACTATGTATAGTCATATATATACAATAGTTTTTGAAATTGCATGTATAATTGTTGATATAGCTTATCATGTATGAATAATAAATGTAGTCTTTAAGAAATTAGCATGAGGTTTTCTAACACAACTGCAAAGATATGAAATGGGTCTTAAAATATCCCTGAGAAATTTAATTTTATAGTTTATAATTTATCTGTATTAAAATTTAAAAAAAAAATCAAATAATACTAAAACAATATTACATCATTATATTTATTTACTTGTGTGAAATTAAACAGCAATTATTTCAGCTTATCTTTCATAACTAGCTCATTATCATATAAACCAATAGATAGCAATGTTTTATTTACATAAGTAAATTGGGTTACTATTAATAAAAATAAAACAACTCTATGACCAACAAAACAATCCCTTTATACAATAGTTCTTGTTTTTCTAATTTTGATTCGGCATCCCTGTCCTCAATGCAAAGTTTACATAAGTTGTTCCATTTTGGGTACTAATTCAACCATGTATTTATTTGCTTTATAATTAAAACTAGCTTTTGCCTGCGAAATTGTCCGCTTGGAATAAAAAGTGTAGGTAGGCTATGTGTTTTGCCAGATTATGTTCTTCATCTATGCCAAATTTCATCTTTCTTTCTCATCTATTCAGCAGTTTAGGCTATATACTCTAACAAACATCCATCTATCCATCTTTTGCATTTATAATATTAGTAAGATTGTATTAATATATACTTCTTATTTGTATTTGGGTTTTAACAAAAGCTTGGAAGCTAGTCAAAAGTACAATATAAATTACAATACATACATTTTTATGTATCTTCTTACTAATAGTATTATTTCAATAGATTAGATGGATGGGTGTTATTGGAATGGCTTAAAAAATTTCAATAAAATTTTGCTGAAATACCACAGTTTTATTTGTATTAATAGTAAACATTTGTACTTAGGTGAACCTTATTCATGTTTGTGGCACACAAAAAAATGCAGCAGATGAGAAGTTGAGGCAATGTATGAGGAGATTTGGAGAGCTGCACACAGCTCCAGCGGCATTGTTACTTATCTCAGGAGATATCAATTTCGCTTCAGACTTGTCAGATTTCCGTCATAGGTAAATTTATTTAAGCCTGTTTTACATTATTGTAGTTACAATAGCCTAATATATTATTGTTCTTAATCCTAAAGCTTATTTGAAATGGTTATATTAGTAAATTTTAAATCGTCTGATATAACTAAGTTAATGTATTTTTAATCAGGAAAAATATGGAAGTGATATTGGTGCATAAACAGAATACATCTTCTGCATTAATTACGTGCGCTTCGTCTCATTATTGTTACAATGAGCTTACCGCACAGTTGCCGAGAAACCCAAAGGTATATTAAAATCTTTTAAAACTGTACTCTACAGTAGTTTATGTTACATATTATTATTTTACGTTGCATTAGAATTGTTATCACTATTTCACAATGTATTTGTCATCATGTGTGAAATACTCGCACATTAATCCTTCTCGTATTCTTTGAGATAATTTTTAATGGGTAACACCCAACTGACGAAGCTGGAAAACTAATCTCATACACCTACAACTGACATCCTGGTATAACAGATACTAGATTATCTTTTTTAAATTGTTTTCTTTATTTCGTAATTTAGGTGAGTCAAACGGAGGAAGAAGAGCCGACCTGTGAGATGGAGGTGTCCAATCTCCCAGTGAACCAGCCGGCCGAGCGGGTGTCGCGGCGCCTGCGCCGGCTGGCCGACAACTGCGGGGGGAAAGTGCTGCGAGTCACCGCGGATACTGCCGTGCTCAGGTTCCCTACGCCAGACCATGCATCCAGGTAAGGATTCCGGTCTATTTTCCCGACTTATTTTATTTTAAATATTTTAATTTTTTTATGAACCTTCCCAGAACTCTTTCGTTTTTGTGGTAGCCAAAAATCTAATTTTTACGTCGCATTGCATATCTGCTAGCTGATGCTGGCTTGTTATCTAGTTTTGTTTGAATTTGCATTTTTGTAACTTTAATCTTTAATATGACTTTTCCATTTCAAATTTCATATAGGATTTGATACCAGTATCATATATACTGAGAGTATTATATGGATACGTAAGAAATCAAAGACATACATAATGAGTTGCTTCCTACAAACAAAACTCGACTGAACATCATACAAGCAAAGTGAAAGTTGTTTCTTACATAATATTGACGGTCCTTAGGCAGTGTCTATAGTTTCTACTTTTATAAATATGTTAGTTACACGGTTAACAATGAGTATTTTAATAATACTATAGAAAACGATTGCGACAAAGGTTTAAAAAATATCATAAATAACCTGGATTTTTAAGTTGGAAGACATTTAACTAAAACCACATTTCAAAAGATAAACATATTTGTGTGGTCTAGGATGTTATCAAAAACACAGCCACATTAATTTAATATCGTAATAATTATTTGCGTAGTCACTGTTTTTACTTTTTAATTCCAAGCAATTCATGTGATTATGCATTTTGAAAAATGATATCATTCATAAGATTTTGAGGAGGTAGAATAGATAATTTAAAAGGTCGATGACCTTTGCACGACGTCATCGGAAATCAGCGATAGGGTTGCTACAAATATCCAACAACACTGACGCAAACGTAAAACAATTTTATCAATATAAAAACTCACACCAATAATAAAACAAACAAAACCACATCACGTTCATTGTTTACCTTATAAGCGAGTTATTACTTTAACATAGCTTTCCTAACTAGGAAATTTGTTATTGATTATTTCTCATTTATCATAAGGCAATGAAATAGCTATTTCCTTATTTTTTTTCTAAAATTTATAAACGTTTACGTAACAAATATAATAAGCGTTTGTGTTCGATCTTCTAATATATCCGTTGTAACCCTAAACTATTCTATTAATTTTGAATCATCTGTGCGAAATTCATTGCTACCCTCAAATTTCTAAAAATAAGCCATTATTTTGTCAGTTACGATATTAATCGGCCATTTCCGCCGCTGGCCACAAGCACTAACACAAGAGGCGCGTAAATCATTTAAAAAAGTGTTGTGTAAAAGAGATATTTTTATAATTTATTGCACAGTATATAAAGTATTTGATATATTAATGATAAGTAAAGTGATATTTTAATATAAAATGATGCTATCAGGGTGAGTGTTTGAATAAATATCACGAATAGAGTAGCCATTTTAATTTTTGAAGTCACGTAGTCAGCCAAAAGACTGACTAATATTATTTCCAGTATTTATTATATGCTGAAGACGCCGACTTTCTTGTATTACATACTACGAACGAAGATAATGTTTGAATGGTTAATTTCATTAATGCAGAGTTAGCTAGCAATCTAGCGCATCATAAAAAGACACAAAATCTCCTGCTTACGTAAATTGTTTACTACGATTTTATAAAATTATTTTAGGTTAAATATATTCTGCATATCCTTCGTTAGACATTTTTAAAATGGCTTGAATAAGATTTTTTTGATCTTAACATGTAAATCTATTTTTCTAAAGTTGACTTCCCATTGCTGACGTAAGCAGTCTCGATAATATTCCAATAATTTCAATTTTTCTAAATATATTTTTTGACAATAGTCGGATTGCGTGAAAATCTTTTGATTTTTGTTATGATAGATATTTATTGTAATGTTGTTTTTACAATATATTTCGCTAGTATAACGCTTGCACTGGTTTACTTTATTTTATGCGTCCTTCGATGCAGTTGAATCATCGGCCTGTGAAGGGCATGCTTCCATCGGTGCGAGACTTACTACGCCATAATTCGTAATACCGATAAAAAAACAGCTTTTCTAGAACTCCCCATAAATGTAAAGTGGGTTTTTCATACATTTTTGACGGTCTTGAATTGCAATATTCAGTTGAGTGATCTATTTTATACATTGTAAAACGCAATACAAAAGCAGGTCAGGTGGCAACCGCTTTGCTATTCAAATGTATTTGTGAGGACAGATTACAAATTCTAAATTGTAATGCGTCACAGCTACTTCATACATAAGCCAACCAATTGAAATTCAGATGAAGAGATCTCGGTTGGAATATTGTATGTACAGTCGGGGCAACTGGCTATGTTCCATTATACTTGCCAAATGTGAACCAATAAATATTGACTATACTATACATACAAAACTTTTTAAAGTATCTATTCGTCTAATACTCTTAATTAAAAAAAAAGAATTTGGTACAAAATTCGTATTACTAATTATTCATAGTTCGGAAATGTGTGATGCATTATTACGTCAAAACAAAATTTTATCTTTATAGGTATACGGTTTTCCTCTTATAATTAAATTTTCCATAATTGCAATAGCACATTTTATATTGTTCATATATGTTATACTGTTCAATAAAGGATACACTTTGCGACCACTTGGCATTTACAAAATTTATCAGATAAACAAAAGAAAACATTCGAATCAAATTCTACGGACGCATATAAACAAGGCCTTTACCCAGAGGGTTACATTATCTAACCATGCTGTTGTTACTGCATTTATAAAACTTGAATAAATAAACTGCTCTGTGCTACGCAGTATGTTAATACAAGATTCAATTGACGTCAAACTCTCACAAATATATATGTTTTTTTGTAAACTTGTTTATTATGTCCATTATTTCCACTTAAAACATTTTCGACCAAACTTCAAGGTATATACAGATGTGTTCTTTATTACAATAAACAAAAAGGTTGCTTTTGTCAACTTTAAGGTCGACATACCAACGACGAATGACTTATATAAACGCAAACCGTACTTACAAAACATTCGATAAATTAGTGTTGATATCGCTATGCTATTGTGCACTTGTAATACGATAAGGTCTCGTATGTAAACGTATGTACTCTTTTTATACATGAGACCTGAGACAGATGACATCATTGAGACTGTAGATGGATTTTTATGAACACTGCACAACAATGCAACAATGTTTGTATAATCAAATAAGCAGGATATCAAATATAATATGCTATATTTGCTGTCTGTACTAATTAAGGCGTAGGCAGTGAGATGTATGAGAGTAATGAGTGATAGATTTCTCGATTGGTAATATCATTGGGTTAAATTGTAATAAATACAAATAAGATTTTGTCTACTTATAGAAGTGTAAACATTTCACCTTTAAGTGATGACGAATTAGTTATTTTTAAATTATGCATTTTCGTATTAGAATATGGAAAGAATTTCACCGTCATTTACGACGCATAGTATTATACGTAATTTCCCATTAAATTTTATTGGGTAATGAAGTGAAGTATGATAAATAGTAATAAATTTTTTAATTATTGTTTTTGTAATTACCAATTAGTAGAGTAACTAGTCATATACATATATTTTATTGATAAAACATTGACACTAAAAAGTTTTTTTAATTCAATTGGTATCATTATTGTGGGGTTCAAATGCAGTGACACTATAATGGTATTATATTGTCATCCCTCGTATTCTCTATGAAAAAAAAAAAGCGACAGGAGTACACGTATCATGGGATCGAAGATAGTCACTTTTCAAACAGAAATTCTTGTAAAACGTATTTCTATTTGAAAAACGTAAATTATGTGATGAAAGATTGATTTTAAATGGCGATTGTTAAATCAATATGAATGTGTTGTTAGGGCGTTGAAGCGTATGGAAGGCGAGGATGTGTTCGGGCGC